ACAAAAATTTTGATCCGGATAGTAATTCATATCTAAATGTTTAATTTTGTTTCTAAAAATATAATAATAACAATTTTAATAATAAAAATATTTTATCTCTAAAAATAATTTTATTTCTAAATGTTTTTTTTTTTCTAAAACTTGAATTTGTTATGATATAACCTTTAATCTCGATCATCCAACAAACATGAAATAGAATATAAGATAAGACCAAACGTGATAGATAATTTGTGCTTCAAACGTGACATTTGTGCTTCATTATCTCTTTATGTGGAACCATATGAAATCCTCACCAACTACTAGGAAGATAATTGAATGTTGAATATTAATTTCTCTAGAAGAATTTTCGCCTTTGCTATTGATAATAAATGTTCGAAAAGTGGTTTATAAATAAAAATTTTATTTAAAATAGTGTGTCAATTGTATTTGTATAATTACAATGATAATGGTGAATTTTTTATTAGAAAATGAAAGGATCACAATATGCCAACTCATTGTGTATAAGTCGTGTGCAACCTTTCTGTTTGTATAATTATTCAAGCTAGGAAAAAAATTAAAATCAAACAAGAAAACAGATAAAAGAGGAAAATGTCTATATTGACTCATGTGGATAAAGGACCAATTAGGTACTTACATGGTAAGTGTTGCACGTCCAATTATGGATTTCGCTAGCAAATTTGTGTGCGTTCCAACGCATTTCATTATTTGAAAAATAATATTAACCATTAAATTTACGATGAAATATCAATAAATCTTAAAATATAATTTTTTGAATTGTTTAATCCTTTATTTTTTTATTTTATGAACTAAAGATCTCATTAAAATAGAAATTACACAAAATGATAGTTAATTACACGTTTGGGTTTAATTTTTGAAGGATAAAAGTAGATTTCTTCAAATGTAAACTACACATTTGGACAATCCGCATTATAGAGGTTTTTGACTTTTTCTCGTTCTGGAACAAGCCCACATTACGAATAAAAACGTAACACTTCAATAACGTAACACTACAATATAACATACTAAAAAAAAATTTAGTGTACTTTTTTCAAACGTATTAACGTAGTACTCCCAAAAAAAAAAGGAACTCCTTGTTATACTTTTCTTAAACGTAACATTCCAATCAATGTAATTTCAAATATAACACTCTAATACAACACACAAAAACACTAAAAAAACTCCTTAGTTTCCAAACGTAACATTCACAAATTGAAATTATATATTTGCCCAAAACTTACTAATATAGTTTTTGTACTTCTTTTGGAATGGTTTGAAGAATCACACATTATTTTTGTTGGAAAGTTACATTGGAGTGCTATGTTTGGAAAAAGTATACTAAGAATTTTTTTTGTATATTACATTGGAGTATTACACTAAGAAATTTTTTTGGAATGTTATATTGAAGTGTTACTTTTGGAAAAAAATAAACTAAAGAATTTTTTTAGAGTTTATATTAGAGTGTTACAGTTTGGAATTATATATTTGACAAAAGTTTATTAAGAAGCTTTTGTACTTCTTTTGAAATGTTTGAAGAATCTACATTCTTTTGGAATGTTTAAAAAATCTCATATTTCAAGTCATTTTTTTAGTCCTTGAAATTTTTTCATATAAAAAAGATTCTCATATAAAAATTCATCATAAATTTGATTCCCATTAATTGGGAATCTTACATTTCTATAGTAGAAAAGGAAAGAAAAAAAGAAAAAAAGAAATGCAATACAAATAGGGGTATAACCGTAAATCTAATTCTAAATAATATATTAAATCTATATTTCCAAAATCAATGGGACTAATTGATTTATAAACAAATCGTTGAGACTAAATGGATCATTATTTCTCAAAATGAGATTTATAGGTAAATTTTCTTAAATCCATTCAATCCTAATTCTCAATTATGCATAAATAGAATATTTTTATACCGTTAAATTTATTTAATCTTCATGATGTGACATGTGATTTTTTTTTTATAAATTTAATCCTTTTTATTTAATAAATTTTATGTAAGGAGTCTAGAAGAGACATCATAATTTTAAGGGAATACCAAGATCAATAAGAGAGTGCTCCCAGTATTTACATATTTGGCTTTATATATAGGAAAATGATTCTCACAATTTTATTTTTTTTTCCTTTTAACAAGAAAAGGACACTCCGTGGAGACATTATAGTATCCATAGGTCCTGACTCCGGGTAGTCAAATGATGGCCAAATTGAACCCAACTCATAGGAAGGAACACAGTACCGGAGTAATAATGGACCTCACCCACATCTCACAGCAGGAGGCAGAGTCTGGCAACAGAAATACAATGCCACATTTGAAGAGTGCAGCCCCCAAGTGTCGAACCTTGCTCTTCTATATGGAAAACAGGTGTGTTATCCACGTTACTACCACATCTGTTGATTTCTCACTATTTGATTCATAATGATGTGATGTGATAAATGTGAACTTTTAATTTGTTGTGTACTCAATAATGTGGAGTCCAATTCCTTTACCACATCATTTTAGATTAATTTATGAGTTTAAAATTGCAAGTCACCAAAACTTATCTGCACTCAATTGTACTTAGTATACATATTCAGTGAAAAAAATATTGAGAAAATTACTTTAAAAAGTACATTCATAAATTACAATAATTTTTCATTATTTTAAGTATAGCACATATACCACTAACTTTAAATTTACGTTAGCCATCTCATTTTTGGGCTAAAATTCAGACACAAATTCATTATAACTAGCATTTTCCTATTGCATTAGTACTTTGTTTACTTGTTATTTGTACTTTGTTTACTTGTCATCCTCACCCGGCGATGCTCAATTCAAGCCAACCTGCATGGATGGCTCTACCGATAGTCTTTGCTTAACTTCACCTCAACTTGAAAAGGAAGTGCTAAGGCAATGGAAGAAGAATGGAAGGTGGTGAGAAGACATAGAAGAGCAAGCTTTGCAAGTCATGGGTTTCGGCCATTGCCAATGGTTACTATGTTCGTGGATAACTTGCCAGACTCTATGGATAAGGAATGGCTGCTACAATTATGCAGTGGAGCAGGGAAGGTTTAGGATGTATTCATTTCCAAAAAATTAAGCAAAAGATCCAAACGCAGGTTTGGATTTGTTAGATTCAGATCCAATGAGGAGGCAGTTAGAGCTGTAGAAGCGGTTAATGGGGTAACAGTGAGAGATTGTAGGTTGTTTGCAAAGTTGGCAGCCTTTTGCAAGGAAGGGCAAGGCTTGAGGGAAGCGGTGAAGTCAAATGGCACTGGTAGAACAAGGAATGATGACCCTTATGGAGCGCACCGGGTTACAATAAGGCAATCTCTGAGGAGGAATGTTAACAATCAATCCTTTGCAGATGTGGTGAGAGGTTGCAATAAGGACTGTCACAAAGCCTTATCCCCATCTGTTAAAGCTGATGAGTATGGTAATGAATGGCTTCGAAGAAGCGCAGTGCGAAAAACTTATACTTTTTGTTCAGTCAAAGCGGTGGAGGACATTCTAAAGAGTGTGGGGGTCATTAACTTTCAAGTTCGTGAAATCGGTGGCAAAAGTATGATCATTACTTTCCAACAGTAGAAGCCATGAAGAGGGCGTTGCAGGATAAACCAAGATGGATTGCTGGATGCTTTGAGGATTTTGTTGAATGGAGCCCATTTATGATGCATGAATTTGGAAGATTGGTGTGGTTGAATTGCTTTGGTGTTCCAATTAATTTCTGGAACTCAATCACATTTTCTAATATTGGTAAAGCATGGGAGGAGATTGTACAACTGGAAGATGAGACTCTGAAAGGTATGTCCTTTGCAGTTAAGAGAGTGTTGATATTTACAAAACGTTTTGAAATGATTAATCAGATGATGACTGTGGAGTACAAAGGGATATCATATCCAATTCGAGTGATAGAAGAAGCAGTAGGGAGGAACTTTTATTCTAGTAGAAATATTGATCCTAACAGCACGTGGGTAATCCCAAAAGTGTAGCCGGAAGCAAATAGGAGGATGGACGTCAGAATGAAGTTGGTGATGTAGAAGGTGACTTGCTGCCTGAAGCTGAGCTGGATTCAATGGTGGATGGTGACGTGGAGGGTGACTTGGAGTCCACATCTGAGCTAGTTTTAAGGCATAGGAGGGTCGGAGGTGATGAGGGTGGTCCAGAAGAGGTAGGGCCGTCATTGGTTGGAGAAACAAAGTTTTATTTGGGAAATGAGAAGCAGCAAATGGTGACCTTGGAAGTTGAACAGTTGTCTATGTGTATTGCAACGGCTCAAAAAGTGGTTGAAGAGGATAATTGCTTTGAAGGGTTGAAGGATTGGCTGGAACCGATTCCTTCGGCCCATTTGGGCTCCAAAAATTGGCCCCTTGTCCCTTTAGCTCCATGTATGGGTTTGGGCCCTAATTGCTCTTCTTTACCTAATCAGTCTAGCCTAGGGTAAATTGAATCACAGTCAGAGGTGTTACCTAAGGTTCTGGGCTCATAAGGTAATTTTAGACGGGTCCAAAAGCTGAACAACAGTCATGGTTTATTCAATCATCGTCTCAAGCTTATTGATGATAAGAAGAAAAGAAAGGTGAAATTGATGGAAGAAATCTTAGGAGATTCATGGATGAACAAGGGTAAGAGGAGAAAAGCGAAGAGAATCTTGAAAATAGGGGCTATTTTTCGAGCAGCGGCCGATGCAACCTCCTCATCAATCTCGTCGGGTTCTATCATCAATAGAAATCGAATCATTCTTTCTGAGGCCCAGGCAGTTTGGGAGATGGGTAAGGTGCTGGGGGTGAAAGCGTCAATGCCAAAGAAGGAAATCATTGATAGGATCGTTGAACTTGAAGAAATTGATGATGAAAGACGAAATGAGGGGAAAGGGTCAGCAGTTTAGTTGACCGCCTATTTAGGGTGTTGGGTGTTGTTTATGTTTTAAATGAAGATATTAATCTGGAATATTAGAGGTTTGGGAAGGAAGTCTAAAAGGTGTAACATGAAGCAGAAACTAAGAGAATAGGAGGTGGACATGGTTTTGATTCAAGAAACAAAAAGGGAAGTTGTTTCAGAAAAGTTTGTGAGATCGGTGTGGCCAAGCACTACTTTTGATTTTGTTGAAGTGGATGCTATCGGAAGTGCTGGAGGTCTTCTCTGTATTTGGAACCCAGATCTTTTTAGTCTCAGAAGTTTGTGTGGTAATCGCAATTTTATTCTTTTAGAAGGTATAATTTCCCTTAATTTCTCCTGCTCAATTGTGAATATTTATGGCCCTAATGATGTGGTTGCTGGACAAGGTTTTTGGAAAACTTTACTATATGTTAAAAACGACTATGTATACCCATGGTGCATTGGGGGAGATTTTAATGAGATTAGAACTCTGGGTGAAAGGCAGGGAACTATGAGGAGAGAGAGAGGAATGGGGCATTTTAATGAATTTGTTGACCTGATGGAATTAGTGGATCTGCCATTGATGGGAAGGAAGTACACCTGGTCAAATTCTCAAGATAGCGAACGATAGAGCCGTATTGATAGGTTTCTTCTTCATCTGGAGTGGATAGAGGTTTTTAAGTTTAAACAATGGGGGTTGCAAAGATGCTTGTCTAACCACTGTCCAGTGCTCCTTAAAGAAGATGATCGCGATTGGGGACCTCACCCCTTCAGATTTATTAATGATTGGCTTTTGCATCCCAATTTCAGGGAGGTAGTAAAGAAATCTTGGGAAGATAATACTATTGATGGTTGGGCAGGGTTTAGGGTGTTCAGGAAAATGAAGGAATTGAAGGGCAAATTGAAAGAGTGGAATTACTCTGTTTTTGGAAATATTCATGATAAAGTGAAGAGCATTGAAGATCAAATTCATTCTTTGGATCTAGTAGCAGAGAATAGCCCATTAAATGATGCAGATATTTTAAAAAGAAAAGAGTTAAAATCAGAGCTCTAGAGTGCTTTGAAGAGAGCTGAATGGCTTTGGCATCAAAGATTAAGGGTTTATTGGGCTCTTAAAGGGGATCACAACACAAGATATTTTCACATCATTGCCAATGGTAGACAACGAAGAAACTTTTTGAACTCTGTAATGGTGGAAGGTATCAGTGTGGAAAATCCTGATGGGGTCAAGTTAGCAGTGCTCAATCATTTCAAATCCGTTTTTTCCGAAAAATGGAAGAAGAGGCCATATCTGGAAGGTAACTTCGGGTCTGTAATTGGCGAGGATATGAACATACTATTAGTTAAGAACTTCTCTGAGAAGGAAATATTGTCAGCCATTAAGAGTTGCGATGGTAACAAAGCGCCAGGTCCAGACGAATTTAACTTGCTTTGTTTGAGGAAGTGCTGGAAAATCATGAAAGGGGATATTGTTCAATTTTTTTCAGAATTTCATGCTCATAGGAAGCTTTTTAAGGGACTGAATGCATCATTTATTGCATTAATTCCCAAAAGTGATAACCCAGTTTCAATTAAGGATTACAGACCCATCAGTTTGATTAGGTGTATTTATAAAGTGTTGTCAAAGGTTTTGGCAGCAAGGATTAAGCCAGCTTTGAGTTCCATCATTGGTAAGGCTCAAGCGGCTTTTGTAGGGGGAAGACATATCCAAGATGGGGTCCTCATAGCAAACGAGATTATTAATTATTGGAAGATTAAAAAGTTGAAGGGCCTTGTACTGAAGTTGGACTTTGAGAAGGCATACGATAGTATTAATTGGAATTTCTTGATTGCTACTATGGAAGGGTTTGACTTCCATTCAAAAGGGATTCAATAGATAAAAGAATGCATAACCTCAGTCTCTTTGTCTATACTAGTTAATGGATCTTCGTCAGATTCTTTCAATCCGCAAAAAAGGTTAAGGTAAGGGGACCCGCTATCTCCTTTCCTTTTTATAATTGGTGCAGAAATTTTGAACACTATGTTTATCAGGGCCACACAGCTAGGTCTGTTGAAGGGAGCTCAACTTGAAACCATTTGTTTGACACATTTGCAGTTCGCTGAGGATACAATCATTTTCTGTCAAGCAGAGTGGGTTGAAGTAGTTAATGTTAGAAGAATCTTGAGATGCTTTGAGCTTATATCAGGGCTAAAGGTGAACTTTCATAAAAGTATGGTTGGAGGAGTGGGTATTGATGATGCGCGGTTGAATGACTTTGCAGTAGCTCTTAGATGCAAAATGCAGAAACTTCCAATGAAATTTTTGGGACTACCTTTAGGTGCTAATCCAAGATTGAGGAAGACATGGTAACCAGTGGTGGACAGGGTTAAGTTGAAATTGGCATCATGGAAGAAAAGGTTACTCTCTTTTAGGGGACGACTAACTCTGATAAGATCAGTTCTTTGTGCCTTGCCAATTTACTTTATGTCAATTTTTCAGATTCCAGAGGCAGTGGCAAAGGAGATTACAAAAATTCAGAGCGCGTTTCTTTGGGGGGATTATGATCATGGAAAAAAGATGCATATGGTAAAATGGGATGAAGTTTCTAAAAGTACGAAGGCGGGTGGCCTTGGGATAAGGAAGATTAGAGTTATGAACATTTCTCTGTTATTAAAATGGTGGTGGAGATTTGCAGCAGAGAAAGATTGTTTATGGAAAAATGTTATTTGCGATGTCCACAAAATTGATGCGAGATGCTGGTTTCCAGTCCATCATCACAATGCTTCTAGTGCCTGGTCAGATATTTCTTTGGTAAGTGTTTGTTGGCTTGTAGCTTTTGCTTCTTTCTTGAATAATATCAAGTTGAGCCTTGGCAGAGGAGATAGAATGCAGTTTTGGAGCGATGAGTGGTTAAGGGAGGAAATTGTATTACGAAATACTTTCCCAAGATTGTATCAGATAAGTTCTAATAAGGAAGGAAGAGTGGCATCCTTTTTGGTCTCTGTGAGAGATAGGTATGAATGGAAAGCGGAGTTTCGAAGACCATTGATGGCTTGGGAGGAAGAACAGGCCGTTACTCTAAATAACTTATTAATGGAGGTTACGGAGCTTAATCAGAGGGAGGATGATACAATTGGATGGAAGGCCGACAGCTGTGGTGTTTATACAGTGGCATCAATGTATAATTGTATTATTGCCGATATGGCTCCTAATATGGAAGTTACAAAATTGATTTGGATGAATGGAGCACCACCATCAGTGAAGTTCTTTGGATGGTTGGCGTGGAGGAGTAGAGTTAAATCCTTGGATAGGCTTGCTAGATTGGGGATTCTTGACAACCATAATGATGGGTAGTGTAGATTTTGTGCCATTGAAAATGAAACTTTGGAGCATGTCTTAATCTGGTGCGTGAAAGTCTGGAGGATCTGGACCGCAGTTTTGCGCTGGTAGGGGCTATTGTGGGTGGTTCCTGGTTCAGTAACTGTTTTGCTCGAATGGTAGATGAGTTGGAAATTTCGAAGGAAACAAAAAATAGTATGAGAGATTATTCCTTTTACTGTTATGTGGTCGATTTGGAGGTTGAGAAATCAGTGCGTCTTTGAGAACATATAACCAAATTAAGAGGAGTTATTAGATTTAATAAAGTTTCGCATTTTGTTTTGGGCGTCATTGAAATGGGAATGCAGAGGTTTGTTTTTAAACTAGTTTCTGAGCATACAATCAGGTATATCGAGGTGTTTATAACGCTGTTGTCTGTTGCATTGGCTGAGGTTGCTGTCTATTGCATGATTCTGTTAATCTGTTGTTTGGTTATGTAGTGTGGTTCTTAATCTGCTGCTGTATGGTTCCATTAATCTGATGATCTGCAGTTTGGTTTGGGGCTGCTAAGGGGAGTTTCTTTCCTTACGATTGCTGTAGTTTTCTTTTGTATTTTGCTTTGAGAGTGCATCTGTAATTGTAGGAATTTCATGATAGTTACAATTTCATGATAGTTCACCACCAACTCTGTATAGGAGAAGGATATGTTAGATATACAGGTTAATCTGTTTGTAGGATGGTTGGCTGGTTACTTGGGCGTTGTTGCTGATGCATAGGTTGCTCTGTTCTGTTGCTGGTGGCTATTCTGTTGCTGATGTTCTTGTTGGAACAATCTTTTGTGTAAATAAAATAAATAGAAACTAAATTAAACAAATAAATAAACAACGTACTGAATTTATTTATTGAACCGAATTAAAGAAAATTCAAAGACTAAGTCAAGTGTGTGACACTCTGTCCTTAAGACAGATTCGCCCCGTTACGGTGCTTACGGTTGAGTAGCGTCTATCTCCCAAGATTCAATGATCTTCACAAAATTGTTGTAGCACACCAAACAAAATTGTACGGCGAACCAAACCTTGTGTTCTATACTCTCTTTAAATTTTATTCTAAATCTAGAATGAAGAAAAATGCACTAAGAAAAATCTGGACAGCAAAAGGAATTTTTCAGACTGATATTTTCGGATGTCTCTAAGTGTAAATATTGCTGGGATATAATCTCTATTTATAGACAACAAAGTGACAGTTGGAATAGTCTGAACAGGTACAACAAATTGAATGAACAGATGCACTTTTTAATTCAAACAATTCTTCTGACCGTTTGTTTGAAACAAATTCTCAAACCTTTTGTTTTGAAAAATGTATCCGTTGCAAACAAATATTCAAACTAACAAATATTCAAACTATTTGAAAAGTGCGACAAACAAAGGAACTGTTTGGACCTTTATTATTTAAACTATTTAAAATATATATATATATATATATATATTAAACTATTTGAACACACACACACACACACACGCATATATATATATTAAACTATTGAAATAGTTTAATAAATAAAGGAAGAGATACAAACTTTAGGAACCACTTAGGAATCCAAAATTTGAATTTAGAATTAAATTAAATTTCCACAATTACAAACTTTAGGAAACCACTTAGGAACCCAAAATTTGAGTTTAGAATTAAATTAAATTCCCACAATAATTTTTATTGAAAAAATTCAAATGAATTTTATCTAAAAAATTAATGTTAGACCCGAAAACGACGTCAACTTCCCATTCACTCATAAATGGTTTTGACGTTCTGTCTTCACCGTGTGACTTGCCACGCGGCAAGGAACACGTCACCTCTTCGGATCCACCCCAAAAGACGTTTGGGGCCCACTCAATTTTGGCCTCAAAGTCTGCCCAAAATAAGCCATAATAAACCAATTTTTCCAACAATCCCCCACATGAATGGAATTTGACAGAGAGAAAATGCAACAACATGATCTAAATTTAAGAGAGTATAGAAATTGGAAATATTCTGCAAAGGATAGGTAGTTTTTGGCTTTGAACCTTCCTTTGTGAGACACTATCGGATTTACTAGCTAAACAGTGAACATGATGTCTTGAACTGTTCAGCCGTTTGTGTAAACCAAGATAATAGAACTCATACAGCATATCCCCAGACACAGTTTAGTTCTCACTATTGTGTTCATTTTGGCCCTGAACAACTTGGTCTTTCATGAGTGCTCTAGAGAATTGTAGCCCTTCACAAATCTCATAGAACCGGCCCAGTTCACACTCATATAAGTGATTCTTATAAAGAGTATCCTGCCATACTCCACTAGGTTTACCTAGATATAAGAATCATTATAATTTTACTTAACCTTAAACGCTGCAAACATCACTATTTCATCAAAGAAATGGGTAGAAGTTAGATTCCCCAGTGATCCTTCTGAGTCATTCACAACTCGGTTATCTCTTTGAACCTAGATCTTGGGATCTCCAGTCAACTAGGTTGAGTTGCCGTTGTGGTAACTCTTATTTCATAGGCTTAAGTCCCATTCCCCTCGATGAATTCTCAACTAACTCTCTTGCTAACCCTTTGGTTAGTGGATCCGCTATGTTGTCTTTAGACTTCACATAATCAATGGAAATAATTCCATTAGAGAGTAGTTGTCTTACAGTATTATGTCAACGACGAATGTGTCGTGACTTACCGTTATACATATGACTCTGTACTCTACCAATTGCTGATTGACTATCGCAATG